GGTGGACAGGGAAGGACAGACACCAGTAACTGAACTTGAACTGGGTCCCGGGGGCTCCTGGTGGGATCCCACCTGATGGAGGAAAGGGACTTGCTTGCTCACCCGAGGCTCTGGAGTCACACCCGTGGAGGGGGGCGGGGCGGGGGCAGGGAGGCCGCTCAGACTCAGCGTGTGCACATCTGAGGGGCCTGGCGGGGTAAATGCGTGCCTGTCCCAGAAGCCCAGGGGCCTGTCGGCCTCTGGTTGGGGCCCCGGGGCAGGTCCACGGGGCCTCCCCACAGCATGCTCCCTCGCTTTGAGGTGAGCAAGGCCCCCAGGAGCATCACGCCCTCCGTCACCAGCAGAGGTAGAAACACTGAGGGGCGCGGACGGCCTGTCCACACGGCAGCAGACGGGCCACTCGCTCCCAGGCAGGGTCCTCAGGACCGCAGGAAAGCAGAGGGCTGGGCCTTTCCGGGGCCGCCCCTGAGGCATCTGGCCCAGCCGGCGGCACGTCCCTGTGTCACTTGGGGGGGGGGGGACGGGAGCAGAGCGACGGCAAACATCTTCCCGTGCTGTGCGCATCCCGGTTGGCCCGGACCCAGGGAGCCGGCAGCCGCCCCGCATCGGAAGGCCCTTCTGGGTGGGGCCAGTCCTCGGCCCACGGCGGGAGCTCCCAGTGGGCCTCATCCCCAGGCAGGGCTGAGCTGCAGGGGCAGGACCCCCCCCCCCCTTCCTGAGGACGAGCCGCCCCGGGGCTCCCGGCTCCACCTGCACTTGGCCGTCACTGGTGCGTCAGCTCCCGGGCTGGGTTTGGCCTCCCCGTGTCTCAGGGGAGCACAAAGGTTTCTCTAAGTGGAGCCGCCAGCCACGCGCGCCACCACCTCTGCCCCGCTCCCTGGGCCGGTGGCCCCTGTGCAGCCAGCCTCAGGCAGGGGCACCCCCACCCCGGCAGGCAGAGAAGGGCTGAGGAGGCTGCTGGACGTCTCAGCCAAGGCTGGGTAGCAGAGGGTGAGGCGGACCCCGCACACACGAGAAGCCCCAGCCGTGTAGACGTTCGGGAGAGCTCTACCCCTGCCCTCCCTCCGCCCCTTACAGGCAGAGACACAAAACTGTGGAAAACCAGCTTGAAGTTCAAAGGCTCTGCTCTTAGGGCTGGGCGCCCCTCACCCAACTGCCTGCTCCAGGAGCGCCAGGAGCACACCCCCACCTCCCAGCCTCCCCAGCACCCCCGGGGGCCCGGGGCCTCGCCCCCGTGGGGCTCCGAGGACAGGGCTGGAGGTGGGAGAGGCTGATGCCTGAATTCTCCTTTCAACTCCCTGCCCCCACGCCCCACCCCCGGCCCCCCACAACAAGGTCAAATTCACCTTCTTTGCCTCCTTTAAAAAGTTCTTCGATGCAAGACTCCAGCTTTCCCTGAAGTCGGAACCGCGGCCGCTGAGTCTCAGTAAAGCCCCCTGTGCGCTTTGAGGCGCTGGGGCCCGTCTCAGGGACCCGGTTGTGGGGGCCCCCAGGCCTTCCCCGGCCTCTCACCAGCTCCCACCGACCCCTCCAAGGTGGACGTGGGAACCACCTTTGCTCCTGGCCCTCCTGCCCCCGCCCCCCTCCATTCGTCCCCTCCCCTCCCCTCCCCCATCTCAGAATTGCCCAGAAGCGTCCGCAGGCCTCCCTCGCCCTTCCGGGGAGGCCCTCTTTGCCCAGCGCCGGATCCAGCCACGAGTCGGCCTGACAGCCCAGCGGACCTTCCCGAGGCGCCTCCAGCGTAGGTGTGCCGTCAATATGATTTTATTTACTTCGCCGGGGAATCGGTGAGAGCCAGCGGCACTGCTGGGAGGCCACTGCGACCAGGGGTCACGGTGACCAGCCAGGGCCTGGGGCAGGGCCTGCCTGGCAGGTGACTGTATTTACAAAACAAGACAAAACAAAACACAGAGAAAGAAGTGCTCGCAATGGTTATCTGTTGAAAAGGACGGACATTTCTTTTCCCTTCAACAGCAGACCCCGCCCGCCAACGAGATGCTGGAGAGAAGACGCCGGCCGGGTGGGCTGATCCCTCGTCGCGTCTGAAATGTTATCTCCCCACCTAGAAAGTCAGCGCCATGTGTCTGGAGGGCCAGATGCCCGCGGGCTGCGCGTACCTCTGCCCCGCTCCCTGGAGGCCGGGGGATGGCCGTCCCCTGGTCCCACAGCACTGACCTGGGAGACCAGAGTCCCAGCACGGGGCGGGGCGGGGGGTTCCCGGGGTGCGGGTGAGACCTGGTGTCCAGCACACATCCCTGCCAGAGCCTTGCACATCCACGTAGACAGGCATCTCGCAGGGCTGCTGAGGCTACGGGTCCTGCTGACTGTTCTTGGTGGCAGGAGTGGGGGCGCATGGGGTGTTTTACAGAAGAGGCACAGAAAGGTTTCCCACCGGCTGGGCACACACACAGCAAGGTGGGGATGTGAGAGGGAACAGGTTCACGGACTCCCGAAGCAGGGAGAGCTGTGGAGCGGGGATGCGCTATGGCTCTCAGGCGAGGCTGCTGAAGGCCAGGGTCAGCGGTCTCTTCCCTGAGTGGCGGGTGAGGGCCCCTGGGGCTTGGCAGATCACCCTTAGGACAGCTTTTACACGAAGGGGCCCCACGGCCAGCGGTGAGGCAGGTTGGGTGGGTACCATCATTCCCATTCTACAGATGGGGAAACTGAGGCTCAGAGAGGCAACACTGCTCAACCCCTATGGGGAGCCCTGGCCTCAGGCTTCACAACTTTGGAGGAAATGAGCTGGCAATTCCCTTTGAGCCAGGAACGTCCAGACACAATGTTTTCACTCCAAGGGATACCTGGCTTAGACACACAGGGCTGATGGGACCCTGGGCTGTGTGGCTCCCTCGAGGCTCTGGGGATGTGGCAAGTCCAGCTTGAGGGGCCCCTCCCTGGGCCGTAGGCCACCTCCCCTGGCCCAGTCCACACCCCTGCATGAGTGTGGGTCTTCCTGGGGGAATGCCTTTCCCTTCCTCCCATTCAGGGCACGCAGACTGGAATAGGCTTCCTTCTCTCTGCCGGGTGAACCCAGGGGTCCCTGACACCCTCCAGCCTCCCTATGGGGGAGGGGAGGCCAGACGCAGGGGTGAGGCTGTGCCATGAGCAGACTCCCATCACCTTGAGGACAGTCACACTCCAAGCGACTTCTGCCAAACAAGGAAGGGCTAGGAGAGCTAAGAGGGACCTCACAGAAACCGAGGGGGAAACCACAGAGCACCCCATCCCCCGCCCCCTGCCAGCCGCGGCCACTTAGCCTGGGAGAAGTGCCCGTTTTGGGACCAGAAGCTTCATCCCGTCTGGCTGCTCACTGCACACGGGGCTTTGAGAGATCAAAGGGACACACGCTTGGGGTCCAGGATTTGGAAACCTCCACACTGCCTGACATGCGGCCGATCAGGACCAGGTGCTGCTGCTGATGGCACCCAGACGGAGGCTGCCGAGGGAGCCGGGCTGCCCCTTCTGGATCGCAGAGCCCCCTCCCCCGAGGAGGTGGTCTGGGCCCCCACCCTGTCCCTCCCACACTGGGACGCCAATTCCCATAACCTGTGAGTCCAGTCTTCCCGGCTGGGACTTGGGTTGGAGCCTTCTGGAACAGAACACTGTTCTCTGCACTTAACCAGGCTCCAATCGCACCAGCCTGCACCCCCCCCACCCGCTCCGGGGCTGGCATCCCCCTGTCTTCCCAGGCCCTGTCTTCCCCTCTCCCCCGGGAGAGCCACCCTCCCCGGGGCCGGCGAGCCCCTGCTTTGCCCGTCAGTGCCTTCCATGCCAGCACATGCGCATCAAAGGCTCCGTCTCTTCCCAGGGGCCCCGACAGCGTGTGGCGTCAGCACAGGCATCAGCGGTGGGGAAATTAAGTATGCGCACACACGCACACCAGCCAATAACATTAAGTGTCATTTAAAAAAATGGGTTAAATAAGCAGCATCACGGAGGACGGCCGTGCCGGGCTGATTATCCCATATTTGCACGAATCGGAGGTGGGAAGGCTAGAAGTCTAATGACGGAATTATCAACCTAATGCCTTTTGCTGGCTGGGAATAATCCCGGGGCAACAGCTGCCGCAGGGTTTTTGGCTGGTTTCCTCTAATTGCATCCAGATTAAGGGAGCCCTGCAAGGCGGGCCTTCCCCACCTTCCAGAAAGCCTTTCCTCCACACATCCAGGTCTCCCGCTTCCGAGACTCTGGCTGCTCTGAGAGGCGAAGGTCTCACTGGGGGCCTGCTCGGCGTACAGGGGTGTGAGGCGGGGGCGGTGTGAGGGGTGAGGGTGGGCGGCACTTGTAAGGGGTCATGGGAGCTGTCGGAGCGGGGAGATTCGGCAGGACTGTTTGCACCCAGGACCCTCCAAAGTGAAGGGATCACCTGGCACCCCCTCCCCACCCCTACATACACAGCAGCCCAAAGGCACAAAGTATCTCAGTAAAATGCACAGATGCTACTTTGCTAGACAGGTGAGCCCAGGAGCACCCTCTGTCCCCTCGGGCACCTCCTGCCTTTACAGGGGAAGCCATGCCCCTGATGGGAGGGCTCCCACACAGGGTTATGTGGACCAAGACTTCCTGGAGGCGGTGGCAGACTGTCCGGTTTCTCACCCTCTGAATTCCCAGCCCCTGGCTGTCCCTGCGTGGCTCCTCTTACTAAAGGGGAGGGTCCGGCTGTGTGACTTGCTCTGGCAACGGGATGACAGCAGGTGTGGCCTCCCCCAAGGTTTGGGAAGGTGCCCGTGCACTTCTGCTTCTGCACTTTTGCCCTGACCGGGGCTAGCTCGCAGGGGGCGGTGGGGGATGTGAGAGACACGGCGCAGTGCCAGGTGTGACCTGTCCACATGTGAGCACCCCACCGGGATGTAACCTCCCCAAGCACACCCAGCCAAGACCAGAAGTGCCCAGCCTAAACCGCAGACCCTCAGGCTGTGTGTGAGACTGCCGGGGTTGGGGCTCATTTGTTACACAGCACCGCTGCAGCAATGGATAACTGATACACCAGTTCATGTGGATGTGGTTTCTATGGCAGAACCGGTATGGCGCCTGCTTAGCTGAAGCTTTTTTCAAAGCAGACTGGGGGCCAACACAGAAAGGCAACTCCCTCTTCCCAGAGGCCCACCCCCACCCAGCCTGCACCCTGCTGCTGGGCTGAAATAGCCAGCACCCCAGGATCTGGGGACTGTGGGGGCTCCAGGAGAGTCTCCCCAGAAGGCTCTGGGGACAACAGCACTGGGAACTCGGAGATGCCAGTCTTGGCCACCTTGCCTGCGGGAGGCTCTGGGCTCATGGGGGACCGAGAAGCTTCGAGGGAGGGGGCCGGTAACTTCCTTTCCTGTGGATACACGTCTTTTTCACATGGCACCAGCAGCGGAGTTTGCTCCCCAGGGAGCAGGCCGAGAGCGGGAGGAAGCCTCAGTGTCTCCACGATGACCCCTTCAAGGACGTGCAGGAGGATTCGGGGACGGATTCACACCTCCACGACTCCAACGGCTCAAGAGGCAGCCTTCCCGTGCAAATGGCCGGATGCTTTTTGGCTGGCTGGGGACTCTCCCACACCCTCCCCTGTCCACCGCTAGGTCCCGGAAGGGGCAACCGTGTCCTGAGCGCCGGCTACATTGCTGCGGTCACTGCTGCCCCCAACCACCCGCGAAGCTTACAGGAGGCCCACGTTCACGCTGTGCAGGGCCTGCGGGGACGTGGGAGCCTTTCTAGTTCTTTCCGGTGCCTTTGTCTTGGATGGTCATTTAACGCACTACCACTTCCTTCAGAGACTGTCGATCCTGCCTGCACACATGGCCCCCGGCTGGTCGCTGTGTTTGGTGACGGGGACCTTCAACAATGTCAAAGATGCTCCCGTAGAGCCCCCTCCACCACGGGAGGGGAGTCCAACACCTCGAGGCTCGGGCTGATACCAGGAGCATAAAACGTCTAAACAGACACTGAAAAGCCCCCAGCTTCTCAGACCCTCCACTGTGCCTACCCCTCTCTATCCTGAAACCACCAGGTTTTGTTTTGTTTTGTTTGTAGACATCTTCATAGTAGCTCTGAAGCTGTGGAAAGTGAGACCGGCCCGCTCGGAAAATGGGGCCTGATGACGACGTGTGTCCAGCTTGCAGAGCTGTCTCAGGGCTGGACGGGACCCCATTCTGTTCTGCGTTCCCTGTGCTGCCGGGGGAGCGGGCCTTCTGGTCCTTTCTCACCGCCTGGCGCTGCCGGGGTCACCGCTGGGGCTGGGGGAGCCCCCGAGGCGGGCATCGGCAGCTGACAGCGTCCATTCTGGCGCCACCGCTTCCGGAGCTGACTCCTCTCTGGGCAGCTGGCGGGTCGTAACTTCTGTCACTCCGGGGCTCTACTTACGTCGCGAATACGGAAAGGTTCTCTTCCTGTTGCCGCAAGTCTCTTTTTCCTCATTTGTCTACTGTCCCCTCCATGCCCATCCCTGCCCCTCCCGCATGCCCGGGCCTCGGCGGCGCGCAGGGAGCACGAGCTACCTGCGGAAACCGAAGCCTTCCCGAGGCACCTTGGCGCCCTTCTTGCCTTCTCTGGGGGGCCGGGGCGAAGGGGTCTCCGCCGTGCCCCCGTAGGGGCAGCTCTCCCAGCCGGGGTGGTGGCCGGTGCACTCCACCGCGGGTATGTAGCCGCTGTCCCACATGCCGCTGCCGCACGTCCTGCACAGGTCGTGGAGGCTGCAGGGGATGCGGGCCAGCAGGCGGAACTGGTGCAGCAGACTCCGCGCCTGCGGAGAGAGGGCACGCAGTGGGCGGGGCGGCAGCCTGCGCAACGGAGGCTCTGGGGGGCCCTGGTCTGAAGGGGCGGCAGGAGCGGGGCAGGGCGACCCCTGTGGCTCAGCGCCCGACCGTGGGGCCCCGGAGCCCCGTCCGCCCCGCGCTCCCCAGGGCAGCCTCTGCAGGGCCTGTTCCCGCTGCGGTGGGCAGCGCTGACCCGGGTCCCCCTCGCTGCCCCCGAGGACCGCTACAGGGGCCTGGGAACGGGGGTGGCAAAGCTCTCCGTCTCCCGCTTCGTTCCGGCCCCTCCCAAAGCGCCTCTCTGCCTTCCTGGCTCTGGGCCAGGAGTCCGTGAGTGAGGGGCCCCGGTACTGTGTTCAGTGCACGCGGTGGGGGGCAGGCTCCCGTATCCGGGCCTGAGCCTGGGCCGGCCCCGCGCAGCCCCGCCTTGGCAGGGAGCCGCCACCTCCTGCGCGTGGGGGCGGGGCCTTAGCCGAGGCGGGGCGGGGCCTTCGTTCGGGGGCGGGGCCTTGGGCGGGCCCAGGGAAGGCGTGGGGGCGGGGCCTGCGTTCCAGGGGGCTGAGTGCAGCTCCCGGTTGGCGTGTGGGTGGAGCCTTGGCGGGGAGAGCCCCTGGGACGCCCCCCTCCGGAGCCAGGAGCGTGTGGGGTTAGGGCCTGGATCCAAGGGAGGGTGGGGCTTGTGCGTGGGAGGGGCTCTGCGCGTGGGGGCGGGGCCTTCGCCGAGGCGGGGGCGGGGCCTTTGCGTGGAGTCTAGGGCTGCCTTCCAGGGGGCTGAGTGAGGCTCGGGGTTTGGCGTGTGGGCGGGGCTTCGCAAGCGTGCTGGGCGGGGCCACGTGGGGGGCAGCACTCACCTTCCTGAGAACCAGCTCCCCGTTCATGTGCATGGCCAGGTTTCCAAAGTGCAGGAGCATCTGGTCGGTGGCCAGCTGCTGCTCAATGACGTCATCCCCGTAAATGGCTACGATGGCCACGCAGATGAAAAGGTGGAAGTAATCCGTCTGGGTGGGGGGAGAGTCGGGTTCAGATAAGGCCCCGGGTGGAGGCTGAGTGCAGAGGTGTGGGTGAGGCTGTCTGGGTTCACGAGGCCCTGGGCAAGCCGCAAGCTTCTTTTGTCCTCAGTTTCCCCACCTGCACACGGGCCAGCGTCAGCACCCACACCCGAGGGCTGCAGTGAGAGGACAAGGGAACGGATGCAGCTCTCTGGACGCCCTCCGACCCGGGAGGCAAAGAACGGCTTCGTCTGAAGGCTGGCCTGTGCCCATTCTGGTCTGTTCATAAAGGTGCGTGCAGAAGGCTGGGTCACAATACATGCCACTGGGGCCGTGGGACACGCCAGCGAGAATGTTCTGGCAGCCACCCTCCGGTCAGTGTCTCCCTGCCTCGAGGCTGAACCCCCCAAGTCTTGCCCCAGAGATGACCCCTAGGTTTGTTGCTAAGAAATCGAGAAGATTCTAACAGAGAGGAGCAAGGCAGCTTCCTGACGGCCACCACGGAGTGCTACAATGCGCCTGCTGCCCCCCTCACACCACTGCCCAGCAGCGCCAGGCACGCGGCCGGAAGCCGGCACTCGGCGGGCGTGCACTTGGCTGGGGGGCATTCTGTGTGTTCTCCTGCCGCCGGATGCCTTGAGAGCATGCTGCCTTTGACTCCACCTCGTTCCCAAGGGCAGAGGAAGAGGAAGGAGCACCAGGAAGCCCGTGTTTAGTCTCCCGACGTCGACCAGCCAGCCGGACGGAACAGCTAGACGGCCGGGCGGAGCCCACAATTCCGGCAGAGGTAACAGTCAGCAAATGCCTTGCGCCCGGCCTGCTCCGGGCAGACCGTCCCCCAGGCTGCCTGGCCCCTTCCTTTGAACGAATCCGGAATAGACTTGCTTTGTCTCAGAACTTTCCTTCTGCAGCTATTTGAACTCCCGCTGGGGTGGGAGACAGCGGAGTTCCAGGAGGGGGGTGTCCAGCTCCTCTGAGAGAGAAAGGTCGGGAGGAAGAGGTGAGGCGTGACCTAACTAGGGCTGGGCAGCAGGACAGAACCCAGTTCATTCGCAAGATGAGGCCTGGGGCAGCCCCTTTGCCCCACGCTAGTAGTAAATGTGTAGAATAGAGCCCTTCTGTCTCAGCGGTCACTTCAAAAGAGCCTCCCCCCACCATGGCGCTCACTCTTGACGAAGTGGCCTTACTCCCACTACCATGATGGGGCCACTTCCCCACCTCTGGGCCACTAATGTCATCAAGGGGCCGGGCCAACGGAGATAGAGCGCAGCGATGACCATCAGCAGGCGACGCGGCTCTGGCCATCGGGCAACGCTCATAGTTCACTTGTGATGTCAGCCGAAACGTGATGTCAGGAGGGCAGCAGGTCCGCTGGGAAATGTACGAAGCCTTGCAAAGCAGACACGGTTTACAAAAAATACGTGATCCAGTGTCTCGGACCATCTACGCCAGTGATTCCGTTGATGAATGCAGACGGTTCACCCTGAGCCTACCCGCCAAGCACGCGGCTCCAGGCAGGCCGCAGAGTCAGACCCGGGCCGGGGGCGAGACGGGCGGAGGGCGCGGATGGGCACCTACTGTGTGTCTTTGGACTAGCTGTCCCCCCCCCCCCACGTGCCTCCGGCAACGTCGGCAAGGCTGGGTGCACTGGCGCAGGTGTCCACAGGCCGCTGCGGGCTCCCACCCACCTGCAAGGCTTGTGTGATGGAGCTGCCGGCGAGAACAGAGCCGGCTCCTGCAGAAGGGGTCCTGGCCGCCTCCCGAAGCATCAACACAATTTGTTTTTAAAGGCTGATGGATTCAAAGAGACTTGCCCATCCTTTAACGTCGCCGGCTTGTTGCTAATTTGGGCGTTAAAGCCATGTGACAGGTCCACACGCTCTCGGGGGCTTTGCGGAAGGGGTGCTGCTAACAGCAGACGCAAAGTGGAAATCTGCACGGGGATGGTGTGGCCTGGGCTCTCCGGAGGGGCTGATGGGGACGCGGGGTCTCGGGCTCTTCCCCTGAGCCATCCTGAGTGAGGAAGGAGGACCGGGCGGGGGCGGGCCCCGGCAGGTGGGCCACGGGCGTCCTGGGCTGCAGGGGGCCTGCTCACCCCGGTGACAACGTCCTTCACACTGAGTGGCTGTGGCAGCAGGGAGCTCGGCCCCAGAATGTGGTAATGAGCACAGTCAGCGGGCAATTCACACCTATTTAAGTCACGGAGGCGAGCCGCAGGTCTGAGCCAGGCCCACGGGACCAGCCGGCCGGCGCCCAGTGCAGGGCTGGTGTGTGGGTCACGCGGGCCGGGGCTGCAGGGGAGGGGACCCTAGAGCAGGTGCACCTCCTCGCAGGGTGTGGGTGGGGACCGGCGCCCAGCGGCCTGCCCTGGCTCACCTGGTAGTGGGCCCAGCAGGCCTCCCAGATCCGCAGGGCCTCAGCCTCAGGAAACTCGCGCTTGAAACACAGCAGGAGCCAGCGGTGGCAGAAGAGCATCTGCAGGCCGTCCTCGCCCAGCGAGACCAGGTGCCGGTAGAAGCGCAGGTGTGTCAGCCGCAGCAGCTCCCGCAGGTAGAGCTGGGGGCGAGGCCAGGACCGGAGAGGCCTCAGGCTCCGTGCGAGGCGCCCACTCCCCTGGGGCCCTTCCTCAGCCCCCCGCCCTGCACCCAAGAGGCACGCATGCCTAGCGCCAGGTCTCCGTGGGCGGCATGTGTCTGCCCCTGCTTACTTTAATCTGCTGCTGGAATCGGATTTGCACCTGTCTTGGCTCCTTTATCCTCAATTTCAGACCATTACTGGAGGCCCAGCCCAGGGCGGGGCAGAGCTCGCTGCCTGGGGGTGGATGGGAGGCTCCCGCCTGGGGCTGCGGCCACCACAGGGGGCTATTTCTGACACTCCCCGCCTCCCCCCCCCCCCCCCCCCCCCCCCCCCCCCCCCCCCCCCCCCCCGCCGCCCCGGGAAGGCAAGCGGATCATGCATGGACCGCCCCGCACCCCCCCCATCGCCAAGATCCTTCATCTTCCAGAGCTGACTTAGAGCAGGGAGGGGGCGTTTCTGAAGCCCAGGGCACTCGATTCCTGTGTTTAAGGTCACCACCCAGTGACGTGGGACGAGATGGAGGCTGACTTCAGTGCCGTTAGAAAATCCATCTCCGGCAGATAATGAGTCACAGGGCCATGTGCTGCATGAGCCCGTCTGGGGCGCATCGTGTCAGACCCCATAATTGTCTCCCCAGGTGCCGTGGAAACCTGACATCACAGAGTCGATGCAGAGAGAGGGCGGCGGGGGTGGGGGGGTCGGGGGCAGGGCTCGGTGACTCACGGGCCCCTCCCATACCCGCAGCCCATCATCCCGCTCAAGTGGGGTGGTCCTGGCCCTTGTAGGCGCTGCTTCCGACTGGCCAGTCTCTGCACCCTCTGGCCCGCCACAGGGTCAAGACCGAAAACGTGGCCTACGCCTCCCAGTCGGACATCCCCACCCCCCTACCCAGGCACCCCGCACCCTCCCAGCCATACCTCCCGGATCCTGGCACCGCCCCCCCACCCGTCTGTGGATCCCCGGCTTTGCCCTGCTCCCATTCAGTTGGTCCTTGGTCCTGGCATTCGAGGCGCTCCACTCAGCTCTTCCCTCGTTGCACGGGGCAGGTCGGGTCCCACAGCGCCGCATAGTACCAGCGCTCGAACCTGTGCGCAGCCGCGTGTGGGCAGACCCCGCGTGCCGCAGAGACGGCCGGACCCGCCTGCCTCTCTTCCGTCTTTGTCCGCCTCCAGACCGGAGCGGTCTCTGGGACGTGGGAGCCAAAACCACATCCAAGCGCCCCCCCACCCGGCTCTCGGAAGTGACCGGAACACACGGGTGCTGCTGAGTGCTCCCGGCCCCGCCTCACAGCTTTGTCTGTTCCCCGCCCCAACATCCACAGCTGCCCGGGCTGTGCAGGGTGGGGGGGCCAGGAAGAGGGGGCGAGCTGGCTGGGGGCTGCAGGGTAGGCCTGCTGCCCCAGATGGGGTGTGGCGACTGCCCAGGGGGCCTCTGGGTGGCTTCAGGAGCCTCCCATGCCTGCCTGCTCAGGCGTCCTGACGGCGTCGGACCCGTCCAGGGAGCAGCCCCCATGCGCCTGAGGACCCATTGTGGAAAGCACAGGGCCAGGTGTGACAGGCCTCCCCTTCCTCACTCCACGGGGAGCGGGGAGGCCACCCGGGGAGGGGCCCGTCCGCCCAGCCCAGCCTGCGGGGGGGGGATGGCAGCCAGCATCCGGGGACTAAGGAATAGCATGTGTTCCTCCCCGGGAGCCGGCCCTTTCCCAGAGGCGCCGCAGACAGTGTCCACCCTGGCTCTTCTGCCTCCTGTTGACCCGCAGCAGCCACAGGCCACGCGGCCACGGCGACCCCGCAGGAGGCGGCGTGCCCTCGGTGGCCACGGGGGCCCCCAGCCTCACCAGCTGTTTCTCCATGTCCTCGTCCCGCGGAGAGCTGACGAAGATGGTGTTCTGCATCAGGCCCACGAAGCACCAGAAGGTGTCTGACTCGTCCAGGACCTCGGCCAGGATGGGCGCCACCAGGTCTGACATGCCCTGGGAGTAGCCGATGGCTGGGTTGTAGACCGCGTAGTTCAGCAGGATTCTCCTGGCGACACAGGGCCGAGGAGTCAGCGCCCTTGCCACGCCCTTGGTGGCGGGGCGCCCAGGGTGCAGGGATCCCCCCTCCACCTCGATCGCGGGGCAAAGAGGGCAGCTTTGGGGACTGTCTTCAGAGCCTAGGAGCGGCCCATAGGCCGGACCCCCAGGGCAGGGAAGGGAGCACGTGGGTCTCATGTTCCTCCTGGTGCCTGCCTGTGACACAGGGTGGGCTGGCGGGGACATTTTTATGGGCTGCTAATGTTGTGCAGTTATTTTGCCAGGCGGCAGCATAATGTCAAAGATGCCAGCCTTGGGCTCTGCGTGGCGTTATGTGCTGGAGGGCCACCGGGGGAGGAGCCTCCAGGCTTGGTGGATGCCCGGAGGAGGGAGGTGGTGGGAGGCCTTGCTGGTACCCTGGGGAGGGGCCACAGGACGCAGTGGTAGGCTACACTAGCTAATGATCCTCTGCCTCCGGGGTGCTGATTGTAGAGCCTGGGAGAAAGCCCCCCCACCGAGCAGATGCTGCTGCTGCTGTTCCTTGACTTCCCGGACAGACAGACGAGTGGGTAAGGTGACTCCCTCAGAGTGGCGGATGAGGAAGCGAAGTGGGGAGGGGCAGTGGCGCGTACCTCATGCTCTCCACGTTCGGATTGTCCTCCCCCCGGAAGAACTGGTTGCTTCGATCCGTCCGAACCACATCCTTGTCCACGGTGAACTGCACGTTGCGCCAGAACGCTCTGTGCTCCTCAGGGGTCATGGAGAGCCTGGCACGGAGCAGGGCACCCGCCCGGGGCTCAGCGAGCCGCGCCTACACTCCAGGCAGGGCCCGCCCCCCAACCCCCACTCCCGGGGTCGGGGTGGGGGCTGGGCGCGTATCCGAGGCTTTCCACGGGTCCCCAGCACAGCCCAGGGTCAGCCCGGCCCAGAGAGGCCTCGGCAGCCGGCTCCGGCGCCCCCCACCCCCACTGCCACCCGGCACTCACGGCGGGATGTCAGTGCCTAGTTAAGTCTGTTGAAAAAGAACTCTAAAACCTTGACACAGAGCTAAAGAGCTGCGCTGGGGATAATGACGGCACTTATCCCCAGCCCATCACTCCGTGCCTGGGACCCATTTTCCAAAGAAAGTCTGGGTCACAGAACGTATTATCAATGCGGGATTGCACCTCAAATTGCCTTCTCAGCGGACGTGCCCCTGGGCGGCCGGGGCGGGGTGGGCGGGCGGCCCTCACCTCCTCTGCTGGATCTCGGCGTATTCCTTCCGCTTCTGCGCCCGCAGCGCCTCCCTCTCCTGCGACGTCGACTCGTGGCTGTAATACCGCAGCAGGAAGGGCCAGACCTCCCCCCGGATTGACACATCAATGCCGCCGAAGAAAATGGCCTGCAGGAAGCGGCGAGAGTTGGGGAGGGGCCCGACCAGGGCTGCTCAAAGCACCCCCAAATCCCCGGAGATTTGTGTTGGGGTGGCTCTGCGGCGCCTTCTTGACAGTTGATGCCTTGATTCAGATCGCTGCAATTTGCACATGTTTGGAGGGGAAAGTGGAGGCCCTCCATTCCCATACAGGATACAACCAGGCTCATTTCAATGTCAATGCCCACCCTGGTGTGGCGCTCCGATGAACGTGTCGTTCTCACGTCGCGGCCTAATCCCGGTTTTGGAAGCGGCGCATTTCACCGCGAGCTCTTCTATACAGGCTGGCGCGGGGTCCCCCAAACCCGCTCCGGAGGCGTCCTTTTCAGCGCAGCGCCTTTGATTGCTCTATCGGCGTGTTCACACAGCCGCTCGCGCGAGGGGACGGCCCCCGGGGGGCGGCCACCCCGCCCCACCCCCGCCCTCCCCGCAGGCCCGCTCACCTTGCGAAGCTTGTACTCCTCCTCCACCTGGCCCAGCTCGTTCAGGTGGCGCAGCCAGGCCGTCACATCCAGCCTCTTGTACATGCTCTCCTCGGGGTGCGTCTCTGTCGAGGGCAGCTTGGGCCGGCGGATAGAGAACTGCATGCACGTCTTTTCGTCGGCGACCTGCTGGCCGGGGCGACAGCTCGGGGCGATGAGCACCTCGCGGTTGAAGCCGGCCCGCCCTCCCTCCCCAGGTCGCAAAAGCCCCCCTCGCTCCCGGGAGCCCGCGCTCTCCGAGCCCTAAATGGCAAGTGTAATTAGCCGCAATTAAAATGAAAATACCTTTATCTTAACATCGATTTCCACCCACCCCCCGCCCCCCAGGCCGGCGGCGGGCCTGTCGCCTGGGGTCCCCGGCCCGCGGCCCCCTCGCCACCGCCCCCACTCTCTGCGCGACCCCGGCCGCAAAAACGGAATTAATGCCTCGTTCGGCCCAACTTCCCTCTGCCGGGAGGGCCTGCAATAAATTACATGTGATTGGCCACAGACAAAGGGGCCGCTGTTCCGAGCAGGGAGCCCGCCTGTCAGGTTGTCTCCACGGGCAGTCACGAATCCGGGGCAAAACTGCAGCTGACATTTAATTCAAAAATCAAAGGTTGTTCAATGTGGGGGGAAAAGAAAGCCGGGCTAGTGTCGTAAGGGAAGCCGGCAGGAGGCTCTGTGGGAAGGGAGGGAATCTTAAAGTCAGCCCCTTTCTAATAAGCACATACAGTATCTTGAACAGATAATTAAAGAGCTCTTATTACATTTGTATGTAGATGGAGCAAAATATGGCAGGAAGCCCTGTCAAAACATGATTTTTCAAGTGCACAGCACTGACTTTACAAGAAGCCCTGGGCACAGGCTTCAAATTCAAAGTCGCTGCTCTATCAGCCGCCCAGCGCCCGGGCCCCTCGTCGGAGGGGAGGGGAGGGGAGGGGCGGGGCGGGGAGGGGGCTCGGCAGCCCGTGACTCCCCGCGGGGCCCCTCTGGCAGGCCTCTGGGCTACCTGGTCCTTGAGGTGCGTCTCGGTGCAGAACTTCCACTGCTGGAGCACGTCGCCCAGCTTGTCCAGGCCGCCGCGGTGGAAGTGGAACACCTTGTACTGGCTCTCCTGGCTGGCGATGACCAGCTGGCCGCTGGTGCAGGCCTCGTCGCTGAGCGGCCGCGGGGGGGCGGGGGGGAGCGGTGAATATGTAAACACCGGGTTTTATTTCCAAGCAGAATCAGAGGCCCCTATTGCTGACCCCCGGGCAGGAAACAGGAAGGCCCCGTGGAGTTTGGCTGCTGGCCACAGGGGGACAGAGTTACACCCGCACACAAGCCATCGCCCCCCTTGGCTGAAGAAGGCAAACCAGCGCCCCCCTGGGGAGGCCGGGAAGTAGGACTGTCCTCGCTCCCTGGAGGCTGCCTGAGCCGCCTTGGATCCCCAGCCTGAGTGGTGCCCCCCCCGGGTGCCCCCTCCTCTCTAGGGCCCCCCTTGAGTGCCCCCCTATGGCCCCTCCTCTCTGGTGTCCCCTCCCCTCTGGTGTCCCCCCCTTGTGCCCTCCTCTCTCCGGCACTCCCCCTCTGGTGCCCACCCTTGTGCCCCGCCCCCCCAGAGACCAGGGTGCAGATGCCCTTAGGTGGAATCGGATTTGGAGCCCAGGTGGGATGGCCTGGAGGGCACCCTGCGAGAATCCTCCAGGAGAACTCACTACACACCCAACAGGGCCTTCAGCCCAACCCTGGCTGCTCTTCGCTGAAAGGCTAGACTGTGGCTCTGGGTCTGGGACCCTCCAGTGACACGTGTGCTTCATGTCAACGTGCTGGGCCGACGTGCGGGGCCCCCCTGCCTTTCAGCAGAGATTTGATGTGGCCGCTAGACCGGATGCTAACAGGGAGGGTCCGCCCCCATGAAAACGGGGTGCCTCCTGCGGAGAGCCATGCCCGGCCTGCACACAGGCCCAGCTGCGAAGCCTCCTGGGGGGGAGGGGAGCAGCCCCCTCTCAGTGCAGCCCGGTCTGGCTGCCACAGCGGGGCTACCGCCACCCTGAGGGCACATGGAAGAGTCTGGGAGCTGCCCGGGCCCGGTTCCGGGGGGCAGCCCTAGCGGGGTACCGCTGCCCACAGCTGGACCCGAAGCCCCCGCCCGCTGGTGCCCCCCCCCCCCGCAGGAAGCGGCCGGGAGGGGCTCTCACCTGAAGAAGAGCCGGAGGGAGCGCATGTGGCCCAGGTCCACGCGAAACACGCCGCAGATCTGCTCCAGGGCGCAGTTCCTCTGGGGCTCATCCCAGCGGGGCGTCGCCAGCAGGCCCTCGCCTTCGGGGAAGCGCAGCTGGGCGTCGGGGCCGCAGGGGGAGCTGGCGGAGCAGGTCACGTGCTGGCCACGCGGCTCTCTGTCCGTGCAGCCCGGGGACAGGGCGGGGGCGTGGGGGCAACATTCGCACACAGGCCAGCTCAAGCGCGCACACAGACAGGACCCAGCGAGCCGCACGGGTGGCAGACACCCATGAACAAACGAACGAATGAAGGAATGAATGAATGAGTCCCATTACAGTCACGCCCAGTTACATTTCATGTGGAAGGACGGCGTTTTTTGATCAAACTGCATCCCACGTGATCGGAGGCAGTGAGGTGCCTTGATGACCGATGCCCCGCCACCCCCCAAGCCCTCACTGAGCATGACCTTGGGCGGGTCACCAAGGCCTCTTTGAGCCTTTGTTTCTACATTTGGAAAGTGAAGATAATCACGGGGCTTTGCCCAGGATCAAGGGCTGCAGAGGGTCCGGTGCTGGGCACCCTGGCCCTCAAGTTCTCCCAGAGAAACTGCCTCGTGATCATTTTAGACAGGGCGGGGCTTCTGTCTGAGTCTATACTGGCTCACTATTTTCCTGAAAAGAAAAAAACAAAACACAACACAAAACCCTGATTCTGTTTATGGTTCAGTAAGGAAACGTGAGTAATAATGCAAATACTGCCCAGTTAGTAAACCCTCCGTATGGCCTGGCCCCGTATTAACCACTCCTATGGGCATTTGTCACATATAATCCTCACAATAATCCTTTGAAATGAGCGGCGCCATCACCCGCCTTGTACAGAAGGGGGGCTGAGGCCGAGAGAGGTTAAGTGGTTTGCCCAAGGTCACACAGCTGGCAGGGGCTGGAGCTGGTTTTTGAACCTAGGCTCTGTGGGCTGGGTCCTCAACAGCAACACGGCCGCATTTATTCTGTTTGTTTTTTTAAGTTCATGAATTTGTTTAAAACCCCAGTTGCAAAGGATTTTCTTACACTGATTCAGCCGCACCACAGGTTAAGGGCCATCTCTTGAGATTTAACGGTAATATCGAGCAAATGCGCAGGAAAATGTAACCAGAGTCGAAGCGAGCATCTGTTCTGGGCCTCCCACCCCAGCCTCCTACAGAGATACGGCAGCAGAGGCTTCAGCTTCCCAGGTTCAGCCCAGAGCATGAAAGTGTCAGAGGCACTTAATCCTGAGGCGCCTCTTCCTCAAAAAGGCACCAGCTCTCTCCACGGGGCCACCCTGGGCCAGGACAACCCCCAGAACCTGGAACAGCCTTACAGAGAAAAGACTGGCCCTTTAGCACCTTTCCTTCTAGAACATCAGTCGGCCCGGTGTGCAGGGTGCAGCGGGTGTTCTGCCTGCCCTGTGTAAGGACGTTGGGTTGATGAGCCAGGTCCTGCCCTTTCTGGGGGGCACGTGGCCACTCCCAGGGGACAGACTCAGAGGAAAATCAGTAGCTGGATGGGAAGGGAGGTAGAGAAGGGATGGGAAGGGATGGGAAGGGAGCTGAGCCTCTGTGGTCACGTGGCAAACCCAGAAAGGCTGAGGGTGTCGCTGCCTTCCAGAGGGGACCCTGACCAGGCTGCGCCGGGCGATCATTCTTTGCAACACAAGGCAAGTCGCGGGTCTGCAGACAGCCCCTCATCACGCCCTCCCCCCCCCGCCCCCCGCCAGCATCTCATAATCTGCTTACTGAACAGTGCGCCCCCGAGGCTGGGAGACCACGGGCTCCATAGGTTCACAGGTTGTTGGGCTGGCCAGTCCATCCCGGGCTTGCCTCCAAAACTGGCTGCAGGGGGGGGCCACCAAAGGGTGGCATCATTTCCAGCCCCTCCCCCACCACCACTCCACACACACGGCAGCACCGTGCAAAACCCGCACGGGGCTCCCCAGGGCGGCTGTGGTCTGCTCACGCCATGGGGCAGGCCAAGGCTTCCAGAAAGCAGATCCAGGGTGGAGACACTGGCAGAGTCACGGGTGTGGCTGGGAGCACTTCCACAGGTGTGGAAGGAGCCTCAGACAGAGGGCCCCCCCCACCTTCCAGGGCAGCTCGCCTCCGGGCACAGGGCTGCTCCCACCCTTTCGCGGCTCCTCAGGGCACGTTATTTGCATTTACTAACAGATGGATCCCTTAACTCCAGACACTGCGCTTGGGACCCACCACTGGGGTTCTATCAACCTATCGTTTCGGCCGACTCAGAAAGCTCAGGATGAAGAAAAGCAAGACCAGATTTAGAAGTCTGGATATTTTAGGGGTGGCTCGAGTTGTTGAGCGTCCAACTCTTGATTTGGGTTCAGGTCATGGTCTCGCTGTTCGTGGGTTTGAGCCCCATGTGGAGATCCTTGCTGACAGTGCGGAGCTTGCTTGGGATTCTCTCTCTCCCTCTCTCTCTGCCCCTCCCCTCCCCCCCCCGCACTGTTTCCTTCTATATATGATAGATAGATAAATAGATAAGTTTGGATATTTTAAAAATGTTAAAATCTGGTCCCAATGCCTCTTTGACAAGAACCAAAACTCAGTAATTTTGGAGGATTTCTCTTCCCTGCTCACACTTTTTCTGAAAAGAGGCCCCTCCTCTATGTACTGGTTAGCTGTCACCGTGTAACGAATGACTCCAGAACTTAGCAACTTGAAAACATCCCCCTTTTACTTCACAGTCCTGGCTGGGTGCTCAGGCAGCGGTAGCCAGCTGGGGGGATGGGATGGGGGGCCCGGCATGGCCTCTGTCCCCACAGTCTGGGGGCTCCGCTGCTGCCTCAGCCGGGTTTCTGTCCCCTTGTGGTGCTTCCTTACGTGGCAGTGAGAGCAAGGAGGCATTGCTTCCTGAGCTCAGGCGGGATCTGGACTCTCCAGAGTTGCTCACGCTGCACCCTGCTGGTCCAAGCAACTGGCCAGTGGGCCGGACTCGCACCGGGAGTCAGGGAGGACCCTCCACAGGAGCTGCGGCGGAGAATAATCTCCAGTGACCTGACGTGGCCCAGGTCGCGGGGGGGGGGAGGGGGGAGGGCGGGGAGCAGAGCCCGTGTGCCGTGTTCAGTGGCGACTACACTGGCTTTGCCCTCTCTCCTTTCTGTCTCTGCCTGTTGGTGATCCTCAGAGAGTAGCACAAACCGAGAGATGATGCTGCTTGGTGTCTTCTGGCTCTTTCTATCACACATTTTTAACTCGTAGTATTTGGGGAGGTGACTGCCTAAATAAACCATCCATTTAATTTCAGTGCACCACACATAATAATTGTATGAGCGACCGAAATTACACAGAGCATATTGGAATATTCTTGGAACCGAGCTTCCCTGCATGTGTACAGAAATAAAAAGTAAAAACCGGGCCCATTTCAATTTTCCCCACATCTCACTTCCTCACCATTGTTTTTCTCACGGCTTCGAAGTTTGCGGACATCTTACATGTTCATCCTAGGCATGAGAATGGTTTTTCTTTTTCTTTTTTTTAATGTTTATTTATTTATTTTGAAAGAGAAAGAGAGAGAGAAAGAGAGAGCAATCAGGGCGGGGCAGAGAGCTGGGGTGGGGGTGGGGGGATAATCCCAAGAAGGTTCCATGATGTCTGCATAGAGCCCGACGCAGGACTCGATCCAACAAACTGTGAGATAGATCATGACCTGAACCCAGACCAAAGTCAGACATTCAACCGACCGAGCATCCCACAGACAGGACTGTGAAATACAAGGGGGATGTTTTCAAGTTGCTAAGTTCTGGAGTCATTCGTTACACGGTGACAGCTAACCAGTACATAGAGGAGGGGCCTCTTTTCAGAAAAAGTGTGAGCAGGGAAGAGAAATCCTCCAAAATTACACCCATCCCAGGCGTCCCACAGGCATGAGTGTTAAGGGACCTCGTGTTCATGCCAGGACTGTGCTGGGAGCTGGCGAAGCAGGAGCCACCAAGATATGGTTGTCACCCCGTGGCAGCCAGTCTTGATGGGGTGACAGAGGTCATGCTAGGTGGCTGAGGTGACCATCAGTCATCTGCTATCATGGGCCTACGCCATGGAGACCTACGGCGCCCATCAACTCTGCTCAAGTTTGCACCCTGGGAACCCCAGTAGTGGGTCCCAAGCGCAGTGTCTGGAGTTAAGGGATCCATCAGTTAGTAAATGCAAATAATGTGCCCTGAGGAGCCGCGAAAGGGTGGGAGCAGCCCTGTGCCTGGAGGCGAGCTGCCTGGGAAGGTGGGGGGGGCGGCCCTCTGTCTGGGGCTCCTTCCACACCCGTGGAAGTGCTTCCAGCCACACCCGTAACTCTGCCAGCATGAGTCTCCATCTTGGATCTGCTTTCCATGGCGTGAGTGCAGCCACGCTGGGGAGTGCGTGGAAGGGGGATGGAAACAAGGCCACCCTCTGGTGGCCCCTCATAATTTCCAAAACTTGGAAGCAACCATGATGTCCTTCAGAAGGGAATGAATAAACAAACTTCGGTCCAAACAGACAAGGGAATATTATTCAGCACTAAAAAGAAATGAGCTATCAAGCTGTGAAAAGACACAGAGGAACCTTAAATGCACATGACTAAGTGAAAGCAGCCTGTCTGGAAATGCTACAGACTGTGTGATGTCAACTATATGACATTCTGGAAAAGGCAACACTATGGCCACGGTTGAAGGATCTGTGGTTGTGAGGGGTTGGGGCAGGGAGAATGATCAACAGGCAGAGCACAGGCGACTTTTAGGGCCGTGAAACTCACACGACCCTTGAGTAACATGGGTTTGAACATCGTATGGATTTTTCCCCATAAATACGGTGTGGTCCTGTAAGTACATTTTCTCTTCCTTATGATTTTTTTTAAATTTTGAAGTTTATTTATTTTGAGAGAGCGCTAGCAGGGGCGAGGCAGAGAGAAAGGGAGAGAGAGTATCCCAAGCAGGCTCCACGCTGTCAGCACAGAGAGCGACGCAGGGCTCGCAGTCATGAACTGTAAGGTCATGACCAGAGCTGAAATCAAAAGTTGGATGCTTAATCAAAAGTAACCGCTTACTCAACTGAGTCACCCATGGGCCATTCTTATGATTTTCTTTTTCTTTTCTTTTTTTCTTTCTTTATCTT